TGACTGGAATGCCATGCTGTCATGTTGCAGAATGTAATTTTCTAAATCATTTGCGTAGTCATCTCTTGCGGTCCGCTGAAAAGTGAATTTCAAAACAGAGTTGGCAAATATCGAGTTAGTTTTCCCTGAATAAACGTGGAGGAATGGTGGCAAATTGGTATAGAGGTCGACTTTGAATTGAAAATGCCCGTTCGAGTTAGTAGAAGAGTCAGAATTTGTCTAGAGCTTGAGCAGGCCATTTTCTCTACGTTGCTTTAATGCCCCTAGTTAAAAAGTCAGTAGGACAACAAACAACTTGAAAACGAAAAAGACAACATCATATTCAAATGTGTTCATGTCAAAATATGCGAGAAGTACGATCATCCTTTGCTGGCGCCTTATGTGGATGCACTTCGCCTTGAATCGTCTGGTAGCTCATTTTGACATGGTAATTAGTACAAGATAAAATAATTCGCACAAGATACCGCAATTATAAGATCAGACAAAATGGCTGAAAATCACCATACCACATGTTTATTTTGAAATGTCGTTGAGGAAGCACCATGAAGAATCAGCTGAAAAAGAGGGGGAGGGTGATTCTTTTGCCAATACAATGTACATCACTGCTTGACTGTGAACAAAATCTTATCATGTATCGAAACTACTTGAAATGTGATATCTTGTGTACACCGGCGTGCAATGTCGCATATTCACTTTTCATTTGGCTTCTTTGCTGTTTTACTTGTTTCTGTTTTCTTTTCACAAATCTAGCATCAGTGTTCAGATCGCTTGAGGCAGATGACTGAAGAAATGGAATGCACTCAAGGGCAAAAATGAGCAACGACGATTTTCCTGAAGGGATGCGATGAACGTGAAGGATTACCATGACCCCTAAATTGCTTTATTTCCCATCATAGTTAACTTCTGCCATATGGTTGTAGGTGACTAGGAATGTTCATTGATAGCGTACAGACCTCTCAGCCAACTAAAAGTCCCCGTAGTGTATCTCTACGTAGGTATTGCAAAAGTTTGCAAAATGTTTTACAGCTTAATAAATGTTATCACTTGGTGCCATTTGTCGACTTAACTAGTGAAATATTTTATGGACTTTGTAAAGACCCTAAATTAAACATGTAGGAAACAAACATGACGGCTTGTATAACGGCATAAGGCGTATGGACAGTAATCAGAAGCTGGCATAGTGATATATTTAGGGAAATGAATTTCACAATAAAATTAACATAAAATGGCTGAG